CGATGTCTCACGTGTTCCTTTGTATCTAGCACTTCTCATAGCACCTGGAACGTAACAGGTACTCAATACCTATTCCCTGAATCGAGTCATATTCCCTGACACCACAGGATTCTGCTGTCCGAGCGTGACATGTCCAAGCAATCCAGGAACAGACACCCCAGCTGCCAAGCCTCCCACTGTCTGATATCACAGCCATGAGTATTATTCCCTTGGGATGCTTGACAAAGATCACAGAAAGCAAACTGCACCCATTATCCTGAAGCTGGATTTTGCCCTTTGTCAAAAGCAACTCTTAGTTTATCACACTAAACAAAGCAGAAAATACTTTATATTCTTGCCATGGCCTCATGGATGTTACTTAATTTATGCATGTCCCAAATGAAAGGAAGCATGCCTCTCCATTAGCGAGGACCAAAAAAACATATCACCCTTGACTCCTGAGTCTGGAGATCAATGTGCAAGGAACACATTCCAGCATTTTCCTTCCTCTCTCACCCATCCATCCATGAGGAGGGAGTTCAATGTCATCTTCCAAATGAGCATTTTGTAACTATACCCTGCACACAGTCTTCGTCTACAATATCTGCATGTTTCTCAGGAAGGCAGCGTCCATAACAGGATGTTGCTGAGGACTACTTTAAATACGTCATTGGAAATCTTAAATAGAAGTGTGTCAGGGATCAAATCTGTGTACAAAAGGAATACAAGAACCACAGGAAATGATGCCTGACTATTCAGATTTGAATAGATCCTAAAGTATAGCTCCGGAGATGTTATCGGAGACAGGCAGGCAGGTAGACAGGTAAGCAAGAAAGAAAGGAAGGACAGAAGAGAAGGAGGGAGGAGGGAGGAAAGAGGGGAGAGAGGACACCAAGGGTATAACTCAGGCTGGTTCAGCCCTTCCCCCCCGCCACCCTGACCCATCCTGGCCCTTATAGAGGTACTAGACAGTACTCTGGGGTTATAGATACTTAAGTATGAAGAGCAAATAGGGCCTAAAACTTAGACACGGCTGACACCACTTTTCTATTCAAGGTCCATCGGTCACTGCTAGATTTGAATCAAATTGCACAAAGACTTAGTTTCCTAGTCAACATAATGGAACTAGAAGTTCCTGGCAGGCAGACCAAAATCACATAATGGCATTTCTTAATTCATCAGTTATCCATTTTAAATGGTATGTGTATTCTTTTTCTTTGTGAAGGAATTTCCATAGCAACTAAACCTGAATACCTCGGTATTCAATCCAAGCTTACCCGCCCAATGAATTTGGCAAGAATGGTCTCTTCTTACTAAAGGCACAGTGTGGTTGCGAGGAGCCAGGAAACCTGACAGGTCTCACACATTCTTCTTAGGCTAATAGACAACCAAGACGCATCCACTTGCTTCCCCGCAAAGGCTGCAACCTCCCATCATTCATCACATCGCAGCCATAGATCAGCTCACCGTTCACGTTATTTACACATTTATCCTTTGGCACCCTTATGGGCCACTGTATGACAATATTTTACTTCAAAGGACATCTTCACATGAGTCATATTATCAATATAACTTTACTGGTTATTTGACTTCTCTAAACCGCTGCAGGGACCACAAATAGGATGCCCAAGGAACAAAATCAGAAGCTGAGTCCCAGTGAATCGATGTGTGAGATCCACAGACAGCCAACCTATATATACATTTCTACAGCAGGATCATCTTGGTATACTGCATGCAAAGATTCCTATTAAAATAATTAACGTTGAGGGGCGCCTGGGTGGCTTAGTCATTAAGCGTCTGCCTTCGGCTCAGGTCATGATCCCAGGGTCCTGGGATCGAGCCCTGCATCGGGCTCCCTCCTGAGTGGGAAGCCTGCTTCTCCCTCTCCCACTTCCCCTGCTTGTGTTCCCTCTCTCGCTGTGTCTCTGTCAAATAAATAAATAAAATCTTTAAAAATAATAATTATAATTAATGTTGAAACACTTTACTCGAATTCAAACTTAATGGCGTCACTTTAAAGGAACTTGAAACAACCTGATGGTAAACTGACAAAAGAAATTCACCAGTTTGGGGGCACCTGGGTGGCTCAGTCGTTAAGTGTCTGCCTTCGGCTCAGGTCATGATCCCAGGGTCCTGGGATCGAGCCCTGCATTGGGCTCCCTGCTCAGCAGGAAGCCTGCTTCTCCCTCTCCCAACCCCCCTGCTTGTGTTCTCTCTCTCGCTGTGTCTCTCTCTGTCAAATAAATAAAATCTTTAAAAAAAATAAAAATAAATAAAATAAATAAAAAAGAAATTCACCAGTTTTTTAACTTCCTGAAAGATTTTAAGGGAAAACATTTAAGGTTGATATTAGTAACTCTCTACTTTGTTTCTTAGGCTCCATTCTTTAAAGACCATTAACATTTCAAAATAATTGATCCTAAGCGTTCCAAATAACCTTTCCTAAAATTCCAGGTGAATCGTTTCTGCAATGGGTTACTGTTTGGAGTTCCACAAATTCTTCATTTGAGCTGAGCCACATACACACCATGTTTAATTAGGGTGCCACAGTGGGCCTTGATTTCAAGTCCAAAATATCCCAATCCAAAATGATTCGGTAGGCTTTCCTGTTTGCTACCAGGAGTTTGAAAAGCTAAAAATAGCAACGAGGTTTTTACATCACAAGGCAGCACACACCACTTCGGGAAAGCATCCAAGCTTCAAAAAGATCCATGAACAGATCCCAAAAGCCAGCTATAGGCTGACAAGATCTTAGATCTGGTCATCCCCACTCCACTTTTATGTGTAAAGGCAAAAGGACATTAGGCACACATTTAACAGTATTATATTATCAGGAGAAAATCTTTGTAAAACAGAGACTTATACACTATGCAGTTTCAGGAGGAGGATAAGAAAAAAGCTGCTAAAATTCAAGTGTCCAGACTCCTCTACGCTATAAAACTAAAAATCTTCAAAAATCTTTAAAAATAAAGATATTAAATGAGTATATAAAGTTTGAATAAATCCACAGAGATTCAATCAGCAAAATCCAGAATATGGGAAACTTTACAGGTCAGAGACTTAAGGCTCTTCAACTAATAAAGTAAAAGGGGAAAAAAGAGAGGGTAGTGGGGAACCTACTGATTATGTAACACTTAAAGAAACATATCTATCAGTTGCAACATGTGGGTGTTATTTGGATCAAAACTCAAAAAGATAAGCTGTTAAAAAAACTGTAAGACAAGAGGGTAAATTTGAAAACTGACTGTATATTTTATAATATTAAGGAGTTACGGTCAATTTTTTTTATGTTCTTACCTTTTCATGACATATACTGATATATTTATAGATGAGATAATACAGTGTCTGGGATTTGCATCAAGACAATCTAGGGGTTGTGTGTGTGTGTGTGTGTGTGTGTGTGTGTGTGTTGGTTGTAGATAAAAGCAGATTGGCCATGGGTTGATAATCACTGAAGCAAGGTAATGGGTATATAAGAGTTTGTATGAAGGTTCACTATATTATTCTTGGCACTTGTAAATATTTGAAATTATCCATAATAAAAAGGTTCTTAAAAATTGGTATGTACAAGAAATACTGTGGTCTGTATGCCCAGAAAAGGCCTCAGGGTGGCCTGAGGGTGTGTGTGGCCTGCAGACATATTTTGTTTGGATGGTGGGACTGCTTTAAAAAAAATGTGTTTTTTTTTTTCCTTTTTGATCCAACACTTAAAAATAAGAAGATTTCACATAAAAATCAGGATTTCCAACTTCTCTTGAAAAGTAGAAAGGTCTGGCAATGCTGGACCATAGCAACAAGCCCTGAAAGTATGGCCTGCCACCACCCTTTGCCTCCCTGGCATTCATTCACGGATATGGCCCCCCTGGTCTGTGATCATCTGAGTTTGGCCCCCAGTGGACAGGGCTCCTCAGAGCAGTAAGTGAGCGCCAACACGAGAGCCAGAGTGTCCAGAATTAACATGTTCCACTATCAGCCCAAACCACTAGAGCTTTGTTTTCTGAACAGTAACCAAAAGTTCCTCAAGACAAGCACTTGGACAGTTTTAGTTTATATTACACAAAGCAGTGATTGGAAACACATGGAGAGTGAAGACACTGCAAAAGAAAACTCTAGAGTTCTTGTAGCTGATCTGGCTTGGGACCTCTGGCCAGCTCTGCTGCCTTTCCTAATCACAGGCAACAGGACTGACTTCTGTCCTACTCCAAACTCCCAGTGTGCAGATAGGAAGGAGCTGAGAGGTCTTTTAGTTCCTCGCCTGCCCCCTCATCTTACAGCTGAGGGTCAGGCCAATGGAAGCTGGGTAACTCATCTACCCATTTTCTAGGGTTCAACAGAGGAAGGGATGGGGGTGAAAACGTAGCATGAGACCCGCTCCAGATACTGGACAACAATCTGCTCCTGCGTGTTTTTCGTCCTTGTAAAATATCTTTCTCGTACAATGTTTCTCTAGAAAGATAGGCTTTGAACCTTGAATAGAACCTTGAAGCGCCTGGGTTCTAACATTCCTGTTTAACTGACCACTCTATGTGGAATGACTGTTCGCAAGATCTCCAAACACCTGACCAACGTTCCTCACTTGTGCAACACTTGTTGTCTTCTCATCATACAACAAAACAAATAAGGTCCATCTTTCTAACTCCTCAGGTTCTCTGAAGACTTGGATCCTAGGTTCTCTATAACAGCTCTCAGATTCATTCACTCCTTGGACCCAGCTCCACCAAGCTGAGTCAAAGGAAGTTCTCAGAGTCCTACAGTGACTGCCATATTCTCAAATCCAGCCCTCTGTGACCTTGGGTACTTCGCAAAGTGAACTGACCCAGTTAACAACACTCTATTGTTGACATTTAATTAATTCAATGCAGACACGTCAAAAGAAGAAAGAACAGCCCTGGGCAATATATGAGATATGACTGTGGCATACAAGTCGAACCCCCAACGCTCCAGTGGGGAGCTCCTGTCAACCTCTGGTGACACCTCACATGCGGGAGCACCTCATTCACTTTCTCACAACTTCCACATACCTGAAGGTAGCAATACTTTTCTCCCGTCCAAGGTCTAGAAGGCACCACAGCAAGGCCTGGCTGGGGTTCCTCAGCCTCCTCAGCATCTGCACATGAAAAAAGCCTTTAGGACCAATCATCAGTGGTTATACTACATTAGTCTGATGAAGGCACAGGTCAGGACTCCTCCTTCACTCCTCACTGTTGCGAGTTGACAAGGTTTGAAGTGAATGCCCAGCAGGAAACATGGAGGCTTTGAGGCTTTACAGGAACATCTATGGCCAACCCCCGCTCAGCCAGAACCTGAGAACCATTGAGCGCTGTGGAAATCAGCCAAGGGAACCCGTCTGGCAAGGGAGGATAAAAGTCTAAACTGGGACAGCTGCCACAGATGAAGGGGAGGGGCTTGGGAGGCTAGGTAGCTAGAGACACCACCACAAACCCAGATGACATGATATAAACCAACCTTTATTCTGTTCATACAATAATATTTCTTGGGCACCTAACATGGGACAGGTACTATGCCAAACACCGAGGATACAGTAAGGAGCAGAAGAGAACAAGGAGAAGACACACAAAGAGAAGCAGGATGATGTTGGGATTCTGTTGCTGTTGTTTTGAAAGGGAGAAGTGGGGATGAGAAGAGTAACCTCATTCAGAGAGACGTTAGGTTTGAGGGGAAGTCCAATGGGCAGAAGAAACTTGGGATGATCCAAGAAAATGACCCGATGTAGATATTCCTCTACGTAAATGTGCTTACCACTCTCCTGTCTTTTAAAATAAAAGCCCCGGGGCGCCTGGGTGGCTCAGTCAGTTAAGCGGTTGACTCCTGATTTCCACTGAGGTCATGATCTCAGGGTCTTGAGATGGAGCTCCGTGTTGGGCTCTGCTCTGAGTGTGGAGGCCGCTTGGGATTCTCACTCTCCCTCTGCCCCTCCCACTGCTCACATGCATGCACTTGCTCTCTCTAAAATAACTAAATAAATCTTTTTAAAAAAATAAACAAATAAAATAAAATAAAGCCCCTTCTTTGGTCCTACAATCCCTCTAGTTATTGCTCGTCCCCTGCCCCCAGAAAATCAGTCATAGAAGCAACAGCTCCTTCTAGATGCTTTTGCTCTTCTCGCTAGTGCATAATCCCAGCCAAAATCACCAGACACCACCCCAATGATCACTCTGAAAAGTCTTCACCTTCCTCAATATCTGCATGGCACCTGAAACCCATAGCCATGCCCTTCCTTCGGGGAAAGCCTCTTCATTGGAACTCTGTAGCAATTACTGGAAATTAAATGTGAGCTTCGGCCCTGATATGATCAGTGCTTGGCACATTGGAAGAACATCAACACGTAGAACCCATTCCTCCCGAAATGCATAGTGAGTGGTCAGTCAGCACAGCTGGCTGCCACAAATCATGTATTGGGTGATGATAAGAAGATGGGAAATGAACGCTGCATAGACAATGAAAATTATGTCCACTACCAGGTTCTACGTTTTCTCTCCTATAGCTGGGACCATTTCTTCTCAGACTCTGCTTAGCTCCCTTTCTTTGTGCCACCTTGGACACCTTGTGTACAGAATAGTCCCTATGCATGCCCACTGGAGCCCTCTCCTCTTACTACACTGACAGCTTCTAAGTACCTTCTGTAACTGTCACATGCACACCCTATTCCTCACTCAGAACCCAGAGTCTGATATACCCCTGAAACTGATCAGAATTCAGGGTGGAAAAGGGGATGTATCAAAATGGAGAATAGAGGGGCACCTGGCTGGTCCAGCTGGTACAGCATGCAACTCTTGATCTCTGGGTCGTGAGTTCAAGCCCCACACTGGGTGTAGAGATTACTTAAATAAATAAAACTTTTTTAAAAAAATGAGAATAGGAAGCTAAGCAGTGGAGCCTACTTAAAGAAAAGAAAAGAAAAGAAGGAAGGAAGGTAGGTAGGAAGGAGCGAGCCACATATTTGGGGTGCCTGGCTGGCTCAGTTGGAAAAGCATGTGATTCTTGATCTTGGGTCATGAGTTCAAGCACCATGTGCGGTGTAGAGATTACTTATATAAATAAAACTTGTTTTTTTTAAATGGGAGAGTAGGGAACTAAGCAGTGTATCTAGGACATTCTGATACAGGTTCTGCGTGTCCCACCCATCCCTCTGCCTCCGTCAAGAGAAGCCCATCCTGTCAAACACCATCGGGCAGGAAGGAAAACATCAAGTTCTCAGCAGAGGGAAATTTTTCCCCAAAGTAACATGGGACAAGATTTGATTCCCAGAATTTGTATATTCAACTTCTAGGACCAAAGTTACCACCAGCCAACTAATAATTTTGGAATTTTTTTTCAAGAAAAACAATTATTCATTATTCCTCTGGCCATTAAATTATTTTAAATGTATCTTATGCTCCCACCCATACTCCCTAAAAAAAAAAAGAAGACTAAGATTCTATTTTTTTTTAAAAGATTTTATTTATTTATTTGACAAAGAGAGACACAGCGAGAGAGGGAACACAAGCAGGGGGAGTGGGAGAGGGAGAAGCAGGCTTCCCACGGAGCAGGGAGCCCGATGCGGGGCTCGATCTCAGGACCCTGGGATCATGACCTGAGCCGAAGGCAGACGCTTAACGACTGAGCCACCCAGGCGCCCCACTAAATAATATTCTAAGAAGCATATAATTTGGCGTTGAATTTAACATTTCAGAAAAACAAACTATCAGGAAGTCAATGTTTAATAGAAAAAGTGACTTCAGTCACCACCAACAGACTAAAAACCACTAACATACATGATCATCTGTATCTGGGAAATCGAGGTATTTGTGTGCAAAACTGTACATCATTGGTGCATATATCTGCCCATACCTCCATATATTACCCATCTGTATGTCCAAATAATAAAGAAGAAGAAAGAATGGGAAAAAATACCGAAGTCTGAGCATGACTTTTAATAGTAGGTAAATAGGCGATTATTTCCCCTTCCTCATATTTTTCTGGTTTTTCAAACTTGCCGCCGTGATCACTCATGCTTAGTAAAGGAAAAATAAATGACTTTATCTTTTATCAGATATAAGAAGACTTCCGTGTTTACAACGGCATTCATCTCCTTATGTCAAAAACAAAAACAAAAACAAAAAACCAAACCAAAACAAACAAACACCAGACACTAAATATCTCAAGTTTCACACAACCTCTGGTACCAAAATAACCCCAACAGTCAAAAAAGAAAAACTCCACTTCGCTGCTAAAGTAAATCTGTTTACCAAGAGTAAAAAGAAAAGAAAGCCATTTTGTAACGACATGGCAATCCGCATCCTTCAAGTATCTTTCAGTTTTATAATGGAATTGTAATCATCTGTCTCATAAGTTGCAATGTCACATCCTTCCCGTTGTTGTTTTTTTTTTAGCTCTCTTGTTCTCTATTTCCCTAATTGTGCTTCCCCCATAGAGCGAACACACGCAGCACGCACAGATGTGCACACTCACGCATGACACACACAGGTGCGTGCTCACGCACAATTCCTGAGTCACGCGTCCGAGTCTCTGTCCCCAAGCCCCCGGTGCTCTTGGAGGGCGTCGCACTTCCTTGCCTGAAGTCCAGTGGATGCAGGGTAACCATGCCTCCTGCATGCTCACTTCGTCATTTTTTCACGGGAAAGGCCATACAGTGTTTAAAGCAAACTCCTGATTATGCACGCTTATGAAGGCAAACACCGGAGCAGATGCGTGTTTGGCACAAGATTTCCCTAATTGCATTTTGCTTAGGCTACCGTCAAAATTAGTGTTCCCCCAACACGCACACAGCATAAGGAGGACGCAACAACTGGAAGGCTTTCTGGGCAGAAATAGAAAATAGGCCTAAATAAGACAGAAGGGACATTTTCCGGATTTGCAACTCTGAGAGTTGCTCACGTAATAGACAATCTATGCCCAAGCACGTACGTACACCTCGCTCACACAGGGGCCATCTGCAGACGACACGACAATGTGGCCCAATTACAAAGCCTAAATGCTGACTAACGTCACGATCAAATGGTAGGCAAAGTACAGGGGAAATCTAGGGCACCTTCTATATCCATAATACCCTGGATGAAGGGGTAAGTAATACAGCCCCAACTAGGAAGCACAAAATTATAGGCAACTGCTGTTTCTAAGACTGTTTCTTAAACAGTCTTTTCTTAGATGAATTTAAAAGATGCCTCTCTGTAATTCCCATCTGCTAGAGAAACCAGACCAATCTCTACCTTTCTGCACACTAGCCCTTCAAACAGCAGAAGGAAGCGGTCTTATCTTCCCTTTATTGTTCCGGCCGCCAGGTGAAGGTGCTACCCATGGGTAGGTTTCCTATTACCATTTTGGTTCTGCTCCTCTCATTATTCCACTTTCTCAAAGTCTTCCTTGAAATGGCAGTCAGGGAGCTCGATACAGTCCTCAAGTGCTGGCTGACTGGATGGACATCCAGTGGGACCAGGACACACTGCTTCCCTTAGCCCATGAATGGGTTCACTTATTTCTGCGGACCAACATCATCATGCCTTCTGACACACATTGCTACAGATCCTACCTTCCCCGTTCTAGATGTACACAACACTCTCTTCTACTTTCTTGTTCTCCCCCAAACTCATGTAGGACATTACATTCTGCTTTTTAAGTATTGTGTAACAGGTTTCTCTGCCTGCCATCCTGGGCTGCTGAGGTTATTCAGAGTTTGTACCGAAAGCCCCACAGGTCTCCCATCCTGATGTGACATTCAAGTTCAGAAACTTTGGGCAGCCTCATTTTGGGCAGTGTCAATTCCGGAACAAGAGAAAAATAACTTAAGGCTGCAGGAGATGGGGCACCTGGGTGGCTCAATCGGTTAAGTATTCAACTCTTGAGCTCAGCTCAGGTCTTGATCTCAGGGTCATGAGTTCAAGCCCCATGCTGGGCTCCACATTGGGCATGAAGCTTACTTAAAAAAATAAAATAATAAAATAAAATAAAATCCTGCAGGAGAGAGAATGACACAGATTAACAAAGACAAGAGGAACCAAGCAGACCAGGGAATCCCAAATTGTGGTGGCCTTCCCAACAGGCACAATTTCTAGACAGATACATAACTATGAATGATGTCTAGGAGGC